CTAAGGGCCACCTTAGCAAAGCGCATCCCAGGCTGCATAGCCGCACTACCCTACCCAACCATACCACACATAAACATGACACTACCCCCGGGGTTTACACAGACGAGCCGGCGAAGCAAGAAGAGCGCCAGAAGAAAGGGCCCTAGCCGGCGGGGCCCAGCCAGGACAAAAGGAGGTCCCACAAAGCGCCTACACCGGCCGCATTTGCGGTCGGGGTAGACGACGGATGGGGCCCACCTACGAAGGCTGTCCAGGCATACACGAGATGAGGCAGGATAAAGAGGGATAATCCCCCTCGATCCCAAATCATTGAGGCCAATTTCTAGCCATGGAATAATGGCGTATGTATTTATTGTACTTGTTCTTATCTATGTCTCTATGGTAATAACCTATAAACTCGTTGGGTACATGTTGACACGTTTTTAATTTAAAATATAAATAATACCTGTAAATCCTGTAATAAGATTATTTAATGTTTAAAGTATTTTTCTTTTAGGGCTTTGGTTTATTTAAAATAAATTAAGGTAAATCATACCTATTTTCTCAATAACAATAAGATACTTATTTTCACAATAACAATAAGGAAGTTAAGTTACAAGTGTTAGAATAGGATAAGAATGTTATTAAATATTGTAAATTGTAATTTCTACAGAGTAAACTTTGTAGGTTACGTTTTACTGAAAATTGGGATATTCTAGTGGTACCTAAAAATCAAATAGTTTTTATACTTTATTGTGATTTACTCAATTTTATTCAGCAATGTTGCACAAATTTATAATTTTTGTAATTTTCTTTCTTTTCTTTTGCATTTCTGATCTTTGCGTTGTTTCCTAAAACTTGAAAGTGATGATTCCATTTTATTGAATTTTAGTTATAGTAAAATAAGTAAGTAACGGGTCTCACTTAAAGGAGATTACTTTTAATATTTTAGTAATATAGCGTTTTAATACTGCGTTTTCTGCCGATATCTTTTTTGAATGACTTCGAAATTGTTTATTTTTTTAATAAAATTTTTTCAATTGATGCAAATTTTAAATGGAAGTGTTTTGGGTGATTTCAAGTAACATTGTTAATAAAATTTTCCAACAAAAAATTACATGGATTTTTAATTTTTCTTTTTTGTTTGTTATTAAGTGTTGAAACATGGTGCATAAATTTTTACTTATATTAATAATGTCTCTAGTTCCTAAATAGATTTGTTTCACCCTTTGACAAAATTTGAAAAAAATTGAAAGAAATATGAATTGAATTTAGTCTGGGATAAATATGGAATAATTTATTGTTTATAAATATCTTAACTTTAGATGTCTTTTCGTGGGAGAGGTGGACGAAACTTTAATAGTGGTGGCCGAGGAGGAGGAGGAGGCCGTAACAGTTTTGGAGGTGGAGGTCGTGGCGGTTTTGGAGGTGGCAGAGGCAGGAACTTTGATCAAGGGCCACCGGAGCAAGTTATTCCTTTAGGATACATTGATTATACTGTACAAGATGATTTAGTGTGTAAAGTGGAACTTGAAGATGTACCATATTTTAATGCCCCAATTTATTTAGAAAATAAAGAACAGATAGGAAAAATTGATGAAATTTTTGGGAATATCAGGGACTATTCTGTAACTATTAGATTAGGAGAAGATATGAAAGCTAATAGTTTTAAAAAAAGTCAAAAGGTATGTATTTATGCAGTAGAAACTCATTTCCGACCTCAACGAATTCCACCGTTTCTGGGTGAACAAAAAAGTGAAAAATAGAGCTTTATAGAAATATCTATTAAATATAAATATACTTGCTAATTTTAATGTTGTTACATACTCTGTATTTCGTTTCTCATATACTCTGTAATTGGGCTATGCCTGTTAAGTATACTTTGTTAAATAAATAAATAAATATAATAACGCAGAGGTAAGGATGGTTAAAACCGAGAGGTAAATTAAAGGGAAATTATAGTGTACACGGTACAAGAATTCATGGGGAAGTCAGGGGAATTCAGAGTAATTTAAGGGAAATTCAGAGGAAGTCGGAAGAATTCATATAGAAATAGGGGGAATCAAAGACTGACTGACTGACCGAAAGCTAAATTTTTTATGTACAGTAGAGTCATGATAACGTGAACACGAAAAATCTGACATTCAAAGTATCGAGAGTGTTCACACTAATGAAGGTATAAAAAACTTACACAGGTATATAAATTTAGTCGATTTATTTCTTCTTAAACATTATAAAAATCTAAAGTGAAATTTTTCTTAAATATGTACAAGAAACAAATGTAATAATAATTAAAGTTTGCAAATATTATTTTTATTTACTGAACTTTTTTTTTGGCTAGATTTGTCACAGTTGCCTTTTCCTGAAGAGTTTTTAGTTTTATAATGTCACTTGTAAAGTCTGTTTTCCATTTTGGGAAATTCTGCAGATTTTAGTGTACGCTGTCTTGTTGATTTTTCTGTTCATTTCATTTCACAGTAGGTACTTTTATATACCTATAAACACTAGTAACAGACAAGTGTAGACACAAATTTTAACAATGCGTATCGGAAGAATGCAAAAAGAGCACTAAAGATTGCATCATCCACGCATATTCACATAATTGATGGTTTATGTTGTTAATGTTATAAGGTGGTCAATGTAAGACAAATCGTGTTCACATTATTGAGTGGTTCAGATTAATGAGTGTTCACGTTATCCCGACTCTACTGTATTTGTTTTCGAGGTTATTATTATACACCGTGTCCACCTTGTGCGCGTAAGTCCAATATCTAGGTCAATAAAAGATATAACTTAATTTTTTTTTCTACAGAGTTGCCTACTTTCCCGAGCTGCACAAAATGAAAATATATTTGCATATACAGGGTGTTCAGTTTTTCATGGGCAGGTACCAACTTAATTTTTTTAAATAGAAACCTATATTTTTATGGCATTATCGAATTCTACGTGAAAAATTAACGGGACTTTGTGTTATGATCCCTATTAAAATATTGATAGTTTTCGAGATAATCGACCTTTCATTTTTTTTTCTTATGTTTCGTCACTTGACGAGTAGTTGACAATTATGATTGTATGACAGCTAGAAATTATTTTTTTTCAGGAACTGTAGAGTGAAGATGGCTCTTTCAAAAAACGTATCAAAAGTTGACCTGCGATATACAGGGGGCAAACAAAAATCGTGCCAAACCTGATAATTTAAAATTTGAAAAATCTCGACTTTTTCAAATAGAACACCCTGTGTTTTATGATTTCATTAGATGCCTTTCTGTATACCCTACAATTTTTTAATAGCTTTCCCTATACCTAAGTTGTGTAGTTTTTGCGAAAAACCTATTTTTATGTAAAGTACCGGATTTGCGCCCGTTCCTTTGGCTGTAATGTGACTATTTTATTGTTATTATACTTTTCCTATTACCTATTTATCTTTCAGGTTAGAGAACACCTAAATCACATATATCCAAACCAGTGGTTAGGTCGTGGTGGTCCAATTCTTTGGCCCGCACGTTCGTCTGACTTAAATAGTCTGGACTTTTTGTTGTGGGGTTATATTAAGGAGCAAGTATACGAAGTACCACCAACGCATATTCAAGACTTAAAAGAAAATAATCAAAACAAGTTTCTAACTATAATGCCTCAAATGTTAAGAAATGTCCACATTCATTTTCATCGTAGATTAATGCTTTGTGTAGAAAACAACGGTGGACAGTTTGAACATTTATTTTAAGGTAGCTTACGACTATGAGTATTCTTTTTTCAAAATTCTATTCATCCAAATTTTTTAATCTCCAATGTCACTAATAACTTTCCTAACTACGGTAACAGTGCTTGATTTTCAATATGATACGGATGAAACTTCTTCAATATTTTATTTGTCAAGATTTTGAAAACTCCAAGGTTACTATTAATTTCCTGGCACTAATATTTGGATTTTCAACAGCAGACGTCACAACTCTAAGCTAAATAATATTGTTGCTACTTTCATGTTTCCTGGTAGTTTTCTCATAATTCACATTTGTTGTTCCTTTCCTTCACATTTTCAAAACAGTGGGAATCTCTGTAAATTTGGATTATATTTGCTTTGTAAATATGTGCTGCTAGCAAACATTTCCCATATTTTGCTAATTCTTAATCACTTGTAGCGATTTTATGGTTTTTTGTCTTTATTTACAAATAAATGGTAACTTTCCATAAAGACTTATTTATTAAACTCAAATATCTAAATTTTTCAGTTATTAATTTTTATTTTAAATAGTGTAGCTAGACAACTAATAAATTTAATAAAAATAAATACCCTTACAATATTTTTCCCCAGAAAGGAACGGGCGCAAATCCGGTATTTTACATAAAAATGTTTTTTTTGTAAAAACTATGCAACTTAGGTATAGGGAAAGCTATTAAAAAATTGTAGGGTATACAGAAAGGCATCTAATGAAATCATAGAATACAGGGTGCTCTATTTGAAAAAGTCAAGATTTTTTTTGCCCCCTGTATATCGAAGGTCAACTTTTGATACGTTTTTTGAAAGAGCCATCTTCACTCTACAGTTCCTGAAAAAATAAAAATTTCTAGCTGTCATACAATCATGATTATGTCAACTGCTAGAAGTGATGAAACATAAGAAAAAAAAAATGAAAAGTGTCGATTATCTCGAAAACTATCAATATTTTAATAGGAATCATAACACAAAGTCCCGTTAATTTTTCACGTAGAATTCGATAATGCCATAAAAAAATATAGGTTTCCATTTAAAAAAATTAAGTTGGTACCTGCCTAGGAAAAACTGAACACCTTTATATGCAAATATATTTTCATTTTTTGCAGCTCAGGAAAGTAGGCAACTCTGTAGAAAAAAAAATAAGTTATATCTTTTATTAACCAAGATATTGGACTTAGCGCACTAGGTGTACACGAAATAAACACAATGATTCACAGCAAGTATTTTTCGTAATAACTCAGGAGCAAATTCAAATGTTTTTTTAATTTTTCTCTCGAGCAATAACACATTTTGATGAAAGTTTGTGGTTAAAAAATTATTAAGGGCTTATGTACGGAAAATTTCTAATTTATTTCACCTTATAACTTTTATGCCATAATCTAAACATTATGTTGGGTTCTAAATTTCTGTTCATTATTGTGTATGTTTGAATACGATTTTTTATTTTTCTGCATTTTTTTCCTATTCTGTAATTAGACTCTCGAGTAGTATAAAATAAAATATTACTTTTCTTGCAGTTGTTTATAGATCCAGCAAAATTACTTCCCTTACAACGATTTCTTCCTAAACTACCTGGTTCAGTTCAAAAGAAGAGTGGGGGACGAGGAGGGGGTGGAGGTAGAGGAGGAGGACGAGGAGGGGGTAGAGGCGGCTTTGGTGGTAGAGGTGCAGGAGGACGAGGTGGATTTGGTGGCAGAGGTGGTGGTGGTAGAAATAGCTTTGGAGGGCGAGGAGGAGGAGGAGGTCGAGGATTTGGAGGGGGAGGTCGAGGTGGAGGAGGGGGAGGCGGCTTTAATAGAAGTGGCGGTGGATTTAATAGGAACAGTGGAAAGTGGTGAAAACAATTGATATTCTATTTTTTCTTTCTAATTTTCAATTTTTAATTTATAATTAAGGTTTATATCTTGTAGGTTAATGTTTTTTTTTTGGTTTTATATTAGTTTAAACAACAAAATGAAGACCTATGCTATTTTTACATAAATTTTTAATAATAATCTTTATTATTTCGTATAACATAACACTTACCCTGAATGTTTATTAAATTTGAATGTAATTAAATGAAGTTGTTTCAGAAAATTGTATGTCTTATAAGATATTGTAAATTGATTTTTTTTAGTAAAAACTTCTTTGATTTTTTTGTTGCATTAGTAAAAATAAGAGTCCCTTTTTTATATCCTCAATAGTGGATGTCAGGTTTAATGTGGTCATATTGTTCGATATACATTAATGGCCAACAATTTTTTTAATCACTTATTTTGCTTCTACTTTTGTTAGTCTTGTTTTTATGTAATTATTAACTCTAACAATATTCCGTTTTTGTTTCACCACATTTTATTTTATCATCCTTGTTCTATTTGTTACACCCACTTTAATTGGCTATAATTTTATTTAAAAAAAATATGCTGTGGCTCATAAATTAAAAAAAATAATAATAAATAAATATTTCTATAGTGAAATACCGCTTTTTAGGGGTTGATTTTTACGTTCATGTAGAGAACTTTCATGAGGATAACATTTCGAATGAAATTTGTTAAATGGGTGGGCGAACCCGAGATCTTGAAAAGGGTTGTACATACAGGGTGTTTTCAAAGTTAAGTCATTTATTTTAACACCTGGTAGGACTCATAAAAAAAGTCGATTTACCAAAAATTGTTTATATAAAAGGTGTCAAATAAAGTAATTATTAAATTATTTAAAAAAATTGAAATTTAGAAACTCGTTCCTTTATATACACTGTGTCGTGGAGTCTTATAACTAAATTTACAAACATCCGCAGAGCCGGATGATTTCATAAAGGAAACCTTTCCGCATACAAGCGACATGTTGCGGCTGCATTTTGTTGACACTCCCCGTAAGTTAATATGTATTATGTCCACTAGTTCATTGTTTTCATAAACATGTGCCTTTTTTATTGCACAAAACACTCACAAATCAATAACATCACGCACTACTGTACAAATTATTTAGTAGTCGAATCGAAAAGCGTACTCAACACCGCATAACTACAAAAAAGAAAGACATACCCACTATCAGTAGTAAACAAACAGTTTATGTTTTTACAACGGAGTGGTCGAAAATGACAATAAATCAGATTTGTATTATACAGTTTTTAAACTTAAATTTTTTTAAATAATTGTTAATTGCTTTATTTGACAACTTTTATATAAACGATTTTTGGTAAATCGACTTTTTTTATGAGTTCTACCAGCTGTTAAAATAAATGACTCAACTTTGAGAACATCCTGTATATTTGCAATATATTTTTTTCATAACCGGTAAACGTTTTTTTTTTGTTGAAAATTATTTTTCTGTTATAGATAGCATTACAAAGTTTGAAAAACTGTGGAATCTCATGAAATTTAAATAGATATAGATAGATAGATAGATAGATAGATAGATAGATCGATGGATGGATGAATGGATGGATGGATGGATGGATAGATAGATATTTTATTTGACCACTGTTTACATACATCCGTACAAATGTGGTATGTCAATTTTCAGTTAAAATTTGAACTGTACAGTTGATAATATTATATAAAAAAAAGTACAAGTACAATACAATCATTAAACACAAACGTTAAAATAATTTAACAAAATTCACACAGAACATAAAAATATTAGATTAATTGATAATTAATTATATTATTAATTATTAGAAGTTAAATAAATAGTTGTATCCTCAAAATATTCCCTTACAGAATAGAAGGCTTTATTTGTAATATAACTTTTTATTTTATTTTTAAATGTTATAAATTGTAACGATCTAGTTATTCCGCTTAGTTTATTATACATATTTAAATTTAGGGATTTTTTTTGGATTTTGTTAATTTAAATTTAGGTCTCAAAAAATTTGCTTTCCTTGTATTGTAACTATGAAGGTCACCCTGTACATCAAAATCTTTCTTATTACTATGTATGTCTAAAAGACTCTGATAAATAAATAAAGAAGGCAAGGGCATTATACTAAATTTTAAAAAAAGAGGGCGACAGTGATTGCGGTGATTAGCCATGGCTAAAATACGAATTATTTTCTTTTGTTGACGAAAAACTTTTCCGGCCGCATTGGAATTACCCCACAAAACGACAGCGTATGAAATGCGTGAATGAAATAAACTAAAATATATACCACGTAAGATATCACTATTTACGAGCATACGTAACTGTCTAAATAAAAATATTATACCTGACAACTTTACACAGAGGTTATTTACATGATCTTTCCAGGATAAACCTGAATCAATATCCACTCCCAACACATGCAATGAATTATTATTATTATGTTTGGTCATTTTATTAGACAAAAACAATTTCTGAGTTTTTTCTGGGTTGATGGTTAAATTATTTGCAAAAAACCAGTTTATTGCCATCTCATCAGTAACCGACATAGAGTTCATCAGGGAATCTAAACTGTCATTTGTATTAAACAGAGTTGTATCAATCACCATCAGCAAAGAGAATACATTTTTTTCGCGACATAAAATGTATAAAATCATATAATTACGAATAAAATTTGATTTTGTAAAAAAATATACACTTGATTATATCCTGTTGATTAAAAAAATGCATTTGTGTTCATTCCTTTTTAAGATTTTGGGATGTGCGACCCCCACTTTAATTCTTTATTTCAAATGACTTTCCTTACCAAAGTTTTCTGCAGGTTTAAAAATCATCCTCTAAAAATGGTACGAGTCAAAAGAATCACTAAAAACAAAACCACTTTAATTTTCATGTGTTCGGTAGTTTTCATTTATATTTTCACATTTTTACAACCCTTTTCTTAACTTGGTTGCCTAACATCAGTTGGTAATCTCTTAAACACATGTTTACGATATGCTCTTTTGGCGTTATCTCTGTTACTGAGAAGGTATTTCATTTAAACAAATTTAAATTGGCTTGGTTTTTAAATTTTCTGCAATCTACCCGCTTATTTTAGTGAATCCAACAAAAGATATTTCAGATATTTTTTTTCAATAATTTATTTTTCTATATAGTTACATAGGATCGGAAAGGACGTCCTTTCAGATTAGCTTCGACTCCCCTCATTACATAAATATTAAAGTTGTAGCTGTCGATAGAAGGCACCGACATTGAGAGTGAAATTTGTAGAAAAATTACCTGTTTGTCCAAGTTTTCCCATATAAAAATAAAATAAAAGGGGAGAGGAAATAAAATCTAAAGTAAATCTTCAATATTGTATTGATAGTTTTTATTTTATAACAAAAAAATGTGGATAAAGGTAATCTTGGTCTTTCAAATTATTCAAAACTAATCTACTAATATTAATCTGCTTCTTCAAATCTTATATGCTTGGCTCTTTCCTTTTCAGCTTTTTTTAACAATTTATCTCTTCCTCTTTGTTTCTTGGCAGATTTTGAGAATTTAACATTTCTATCCATTTTAATTTTATTCCAATAAGACTTTTCTTCCTCGTTTTCTAAAATACTACGTTCACCAGGAAATTCATTATCACAAAATTCCTTCGCACCTTCACTGCTGGCAAATCTAACATAAATCTCCTCATTTCCGACTGGTGGAATATCAACATATTTGACATCTGAAGACAGAGCTTTTATGTCATTCTGAAAAAAATTAGTCCAAAATAGTCATAAGGAAACAAACTCTCTTATTAGTGTAAATTATGAACGAGATATAAATACATACAATAAGTAGAATATACAGGGTGTAACTCTGAGTGGGGATCATATTTATACAGAAGCTTCCTTTGACCTTTAGAAATAATAAATTTTTTCAAATTCCCTTGTAAAAACTTTTTTTAACCCGTTTTTTAGTAAATTTCGTACCCCGTCTTTGGACAAGCTAGTGTAACTTCAAACTACAGCACGCTTTAGTCACAGCGCATGCACAATTCTAGACCATTCGCCGCGAGTTACTTTTGTTGAGTGGGTGTTCGCCACACAAACAGTACTTAACAAGTAACCTAGCAAAAAAACTCAAGCATTAATCAATAATTATAAATGAAATATACAAAAATAAATAATAACGAGCGTTCAAATAAAAACGTGGTCAAGTTGGTTCTGAAAATTTGGACGTAGGGCGTAGCGTATAGCAAAGGAACTTAAACATCATCTGTCAAAGCGCTATATCGCCGCTATCAATTTGAATATTTTCGTTTTAAAAAGCGTTTAAAATGGTGTTTTCTCAAGAAAAAAAAGTGTTTATCATAGAGTCCTACTTTAGAAATGGACGCAAGATTGATGTATGGAAGTATTCTATTGAGGAATGTTTCATAGAATTTCAAAATCAATTTCCCGGCGGTTGAGTACAAAATTTTTCAAAGTGCAGTTCAGCGTTGTGTTAATGTTTTTCGTGAAACGGGCAGTGTAACAAGAAAAGAAGGAAGCGGCCGACCTAAAAAGCGGACTGAAGAATTAAAAGAAAATGTCCAACAAATAATGGAAAATGCGCCAAGAACTTCTGTACGTGTTTTATCACAAATGGTGGGAGTATCAGTCGGTACCTGCCACACAGTGTTAAAAAAAGATTTGCGTTTGTTCTCCTATCGTTTAACTTGTCAGCAAGAACTTCATGAAGTTGATTTTCCGCGACGGGCTGTATTTTGTGAATGGTTTTTAAACAACTACGGTGAACTTCATAATATCACCTTTTTTTCTGATGAAGCCTGGTTTCATTTAAGTGGTTACGTAAACTCACAGAATATGAGAATGTGGTCTTCTGAAAAACCAGATAACTTTTTTGTCGAGGGCCCTCTACACGCTCAAAAAATTGGAGTTTGGTGTGCTCTCAATCGAAGGAGGATTTATGGACCTATTTTTTTTAATGGTACTCTTACTGCGCAAAGGTATAGAGAAGAAATTATCGCTCCTTTTGTTAACCAGCTGGAAGAAAACGAAATTACAAACTTTTCCTTTCAACAAGATGGCACAAGGGCACATACGGCAGGCGAGACGATGAATATGTTGAGGGAAGTTTTCCAAAATCGACTAATAAGTCTCAATGCTGAACATGAATTTCCACCGAGGTCATGTGATATTACGCCGTGTGATTTCTTTTTGTGGCCTTACCTTAAAAACACTATTTTTGAGCTGCCTATTCCTGATTTAAACCATCTGCAGGCTCGACTTATAGACAAGATTCGTGAAATTAACAATACCCCGAGCATCTTAGAAAATGTCTTTAATTCTTTGAGGAACAGGTGTGAAAAGTGCTTGGAACAAGGAGGGGGACACTTTCAGCAGCTGCTTTAATTTATTGTTATAACAAGGAGGGGGACACTTTCCGCAGCTCCTTTAATTGTTTGTTATTGTTATCACGATTATTCTTTAAAATAAAGTTATATAGTCATTAACGTTATTGAAACTGACAGCAATGAGGTTAAGTTGGTCGCTATAAGCTACTCCCTACGTCCAATGTGTCAGAGCCAACTTCGACCACGTTTTTATTTGAACGCTCGTTATATTGATGGCTTCCAGCGATGAAAAACATTCAAATTTGCAGATGTACTGTCTCCAAATGCGGAACAATAACTGATGCCCTTTGCATCGTCACCGTCTACCGGCACTATTCTCCTTCACATGCATTGTAGGTTGCCTACAATTCATGTATTTGTAATATATGATCACAGTGGTGGCGTACACAAGTGTTAAAGTGCAAAATATGAAGAATTGACACATAACGTTTAGATAAAATATGGCTCCTTACGAAGTTACAGGGTCTTTTAATTAAAAAATTTGAATTGATTTTTGCGTATTACTTCAACCCTGTTTGATATTTCCCTATCATACTCGGTGTAAAGTTTAGATACTTCAGAACATATTAAAAAATCGTTCATGGCTACTACTACCAGAGGCATACGACAGGGGTAGAGGAGCAGTTTCCCATTCCTAACTTCTACCTACCCCACTGACGGAATTTTTTATTTTGGTACAATTTTTCAATTCTTCAATACTTTCTATGTAATTAACCTACTATTCCTTCATAGTGGTAAAGTAATTATTCCTCGAGAGTTAAACATAGCGCTGCACAATCATTTCTATCTTATTATGTAATTTATTTGTAATATTATTATTATTTAAGTCGGTGTCTTCTGTCATGGGATTGGATTGCATTAGCTGAATTAGGTTTTACAGTTGAGAACAGTTTTAGTAATGTCCAAAAAACATTGAAAATTTTTCCGTAAGGAGCCATATTTCATCTAAGCGCTATGTGTCAATTCATCATATATACAGCGTTTCATATATTCATATATTCCAGGTAGGTAGCGTATATACAATTATTAATGAATCACCCTATTAATTCCCTACATTCGTAAAAAAAACATTTATTTGCCACTGCTTCTTATTTATTGTAAGATTGCTTATGTAGAGTGAAAGTTTTTGTACTTATATGAAAAAAAAAAAATTATTCGATTTAATGACAAACTTTTCTTATTTAGAGCTAGCAGCTACTGTAATTATTAAATGTGATATTTATCTAACATCTAGTCAAAGATATGGAAAGTGTAGTTAAAACTACAGTGTTATATCTCAAACTACATCAACATCGATAGATAAAGATCAATAGAGCTCTCACCTATGGCATACCAATAACAACTAAGTTCAAAACTGGTCTACGTATGACAGTTCTGCTGACGAATGATCATAGGTGTTTATTAGATATTGTGGGTGTAATTCAATGCTTAGATTAGATAATTACTTAAATATATAATAACTCTTAAATTCAGTTTATTCTGTCCCGTCCTCTTCTTTTGAGTGTACTTCGCTGGTACCAAAAGATCTTGGCTAACTTGATTAGTTTTGGATATACAGGGTTTTCTTGAAAAATTGCCCATTTACATTGACCTCTCTATCTCCGTTGTGATATAGAAGAAACAATTCTGAACATTATTTGTTCTATTTTTTATGAGGAAGCCATTGGCGTACTCAGATTTTTTACAAATCGCACAATTTCTTGATATTACATAAACATAGATTTTTTTAAATGTTCTGTATTTGGCCATCCCGTTGAATAGCATTTTTTTTTACCTTTTCAGCCATATATAATAATAGATACATTTTATTTACCTAAATGAAGAAAAATTTATAGGTATTTCTTCAGTTGGCCGTGTGATTTATTTAGTACTCGTCTTTTATTGTTTAATATTGACAGTTAATTTATTCTTGACTGATTGAAAGCTTGTTAAATAACTATTACTTGGTTTTATAAATTTTTAAAGATGTTCTATTTAAAAAAAACCTATGTTTATGTAATATCGGAAAAACTGTGTGATTTGTAAAAAATCCGAGTACGAGTAGTAAAACTATTACAAACGTCATAGATTATGGAAACAAGAATGTGTAGCTGTCAAAATCATTCATGACTTCCGCCTACTACGTTAATATTTCTCGTAATGAATTAAAGAAGAATTATGCAGCCGATTTTTAAAATTCGATTATTTAGAAAAACGTTAAGTTTAGAAGTTGTTAACAAGTATACATTTTTGTTCTTACAATACCGTGCTTTTAATATTTTTTCCAAAAAGAGCGCTACCTTGATGGACAAAAAAGTTTAGCGTACATTTATGCCACATGTGTGGCTTATGTGACGCTCTCTAAAAAATACATTAAAGTAGATACCAAATAATGATTTCTCATACCAAAAAACTCAGTTAATTTTTTTTATATAAATGTCCAAAAACGTTCCGTTATTGCAAAAAATAAATTTTGAAATTTCACTTTTAACTCCCTGTAACTTTCTTATTACAATATTTTATTAAGTCAAGTTGGCTCAAATCGTAATATTTTTAAGTCACAAATCTACCAAATTTCTATGTACAATTACTTAAGGACCACCCTGTATAATATAAAAATGTCAGAAAAAGCTCTGTCAGTGTAATTTTTATGTAAAATATTTTGTTTTTTCTAAGTGGTAACTTGTGAACATGGGCGTAGCTAGGGAGGGTAGGGGTATTCACGGCCCACCCCAGAAAGGTCGGTGCCCACCCTAGAAAAAAAAAAAAGATTCTTCAATCATCTAAGTCGCCGATTGTGTGACTTTTTCTTTAGAATCAAATCAAAACGTGTTTAGGTTTTTGAAATGTACGCTTTTTTTTCCATATAGCATGCAACCCTGGACCCACCACAAGAAAAAATCCTAGCAACACCCATGCTTGTGGAAATATCCTTTTTTTTTTTTAATGTCGCAAGAAACATACATACATACCTTTAACTTTTTTACATCCGAACATGGCTCTGGTAATACTAATTTTACTATTACTCCAGGAACATATTCCAACTTTGGGGGAATTTCCTTTTCAGAATTTTTGTCTATATCTTGATTATTTGTAACATTTTGAGTAAAATTTTGCTTGTGTAAGTACTGTTTAAATTCTTTCATGTTTTTTCTTTGCAAATCTAGATATCTGTTTCTCATTTTTTTCCATTCTTTTCTGCAACATATGACAAACGATAGGCTAATGTAAAATTGAACAAAAAAGTTTAGAAAAATGTAACATGCTAACTAATATCTCTCACATTTCCATATTTTAGGAAACAAAACGATCTCTTCATAGTAGCTGTTTTTTTTTATGTGATTACTCTTTGTTGAGGGTGATAATAGAGCAGCAAGAATACAGGATGTCTTTATTTAACAATTTTAATATATCATAAATGTTTTTGTATTAATTATCTTAATTAATTAATTATTAATTATATAGCTTTTTTATTTTTAATTTTGGATCATTATTTAATAATAGCTATTTACTAGGTATTGCTGGCATAATCCAATGCTAGTTGGGGAATATAACCCATAGAGTTCGTTGTTTTCCACAATACGAACAGTTAAGGGTCTTGACATTGGTTGTGGGGGTTAGATATGTTTTGCATACCTATATTTCTAACATTGTTTGACTTCATTTAATTTAATTAGCTTAATACCTTCAAAATTACGTAAAAAAATAAATTTGTAATTGATTGTGCCAACTGGTTGTAGATAAAATTTTATATGTATAGGTTGGTTCTGCAGCAGTTGAGGACAGGTACGAAACTATCAAGAGATATTTAACTAATTGATTTGTGACTAGATTCGAAAGTATGTGACAACTTAAGTGGTCCAGTATATCTGATAGTTTCAAAGCAGTTTGAGACTGCTGGAGACAACCTCCTTAATAAAATACAGCTCTCAGCTAATGCTTCAAACTCTTAATTTCATGAATCGAGACATAAACATCTACTTTACACTACTGATACATATACATGATTATATTTACCGTAGATTTGACTGTATACTATGGATGGAACCAAAGTCGACTTTCTGTGCATTGTAGATGTTCCAAACATGAACTGCAAAAGCGGCAAATATTTGCCCTATGACACATGACCTACGATACAAATAGCGCGAAATTGATTTTAAAACAAACTATTTCTGATTATCACTTTACATCTTGGTTCCTTATCTCTCTTTCTTTATATTCCATCCATAGTATACTGTTAAATCGATGATATTTACTAACTTTGAAAGTATTTGTAAACCCAAATCTTTTATATAATTCCTCTTTTTATCTTTTTTACTCTTCTTCTTCTTTTTGTTTTCTGTTTCAGTATTTTCTTCAATTCTTGTTTCTTTCTCCAATTCATCATCTCTACTTAAATTTAAATCAGTTTTTTGTCTTTTTTTAATATTAATATCATCATCGATTTTTCTTTTCTTACAATTTTGGGTGTCTTCAATGTTTTCAATTTTATTATCTATATTCAAATCATCTTTTGTCGACACATTTTCATCAAATGTTACAATACTTCTTAAATCTTCAGGATTCGTTTCAGATGGCATCTTGCAACCAATACTTTCAAAATAAGAAAGGGCAGCCATTGCTTCTGTTTCATTATCAAATTCCACAAAGGCAAATCCTTTGTTACCTTTATTTTGCTTATATTTTGGTATTGAAACATAAACGACAGTACCAAATTCAGAAAATACTTGAGTTAACCATTCATGATTTGCATCAGCTTTAATATTTTCAACATATATTGTGCAGTCATCTACATTTTGCTTTACTTTTAATGGCTGCTTACGATAAATTTTTTCTCTATCTTCAGACAGACCAATTAAATTGGATTTACCAACAGCTTTACATATATCTTCAAGGGTGCAATTCAGTTTTCTAATTTTGTTGAACTTTAAAAATACTGTAATATCTACATCTGAAAACAGAATAAATATTATAATATAGACCACTTTAGTGTTTACAATGTTTACATACGTGGATTTTCTGAAATAAGTTGAGACAAAAATCTATCTTTGGAAAGATTAGAATCACTGAAATAAAACTCCATTTGTTGTAATATAGAACTGTACAACTGTTTCTTCCGATGTCTCCCTTTTTTCGGTACCTCTACAACTTCACATTCTCCTTCACCCATATCTATTTAGAATATATTTTAATTCTACTGTTCTGGTATTATATTAACACAAATAAGAGATGCGTGCAGACAGGAATTACAAGATATACAAATTTGAAATTATTATATGTTTTGTGCAAATTATTATTTACATTTACAATTGTCAATTACCANTGGTGTGATCTTTGTTGGGTTTTGGGATAAGGATTATGTTAGCTGTTTTCCAGCGGGTAGGGAAGTGTCTTAGTCTGAGTGTCGCGTTTGTTATGTTTAGTAGGGCCATGAGGCCCTTGTGTGGTAGTCGCTTGAGTGTCGTGTTATGTATATTGTCGGGTCCGGGGGCTTTTCTGTTTTTAAGTCTGCGTATTGTCAGTCTTAGTTCGTCAGGAGTTGCTGGGGGGATTATGTCATTGTCTGGCTCTCTGTCGACGCGTCGGGCCGCGCGCTCAGCCACTATCTCGAACTCCTCGTCTTCGTCGGGCAGCTGAGGCAGTCTACACTGCAGTTCCAGGCTGTCGGCGAAAGCTTCGGCCTTTTCCTGGTTCGTGTAAACTACCCCCACACTACCGTGGATTGGAGGAATTTTACGGCGAGCGGTCTGTCGCAGGGCCCTCTGCGTTTTCCAGAGGCTGTTGTCTTGTGGATCCAGCGACTCCAGGTGCCTAGCCCAGTTATCCTGGGCCAGTTCATCCAGAGCCGCCTTCACCCGTCTGTTAAGTACGTTTAAGTCATGTCTGTGTCGGGGGAGGCGGGTGCGGGTGGCAAGCCGTTTCGCACGTCGTCTGTCACGTATTAAGTTTTTTATGTCATCGGGGAGGGTGCCCCGGGGGTTTGTCAGTCGGGGGACAATAGTCTCCGTCGTAGTCTGAGTCAGGGCGTTTTTAATGTCAGTCTCAAGGGAGAGGATTGCCGCCTCCAGATCATGGGTGGTTTCGATGACTGGGAGCGCCATGTTTCCTTGCATTACTGTTCGGAAACGCTCCCAGTCAGTGAACCTCCTCGTGAAGGTGCCTTCATATCTCTGTCTTCGCCCCAGATCCAGAAATATTGGATTGTGGGCGGAAGACCCTTCGTATTGGGTGGATATTTGGGCATTTAACGGTATAGATTTTAAGAGGGCAATGTCGATAACGTCGGGGCGTCCTACGGGTCCGTAATGTGTCGGTTCTGTCGGTCCGAGTATAGTCAAGTCGTCGTGTCTGTCTTGGTAATTCAGCAGGACGCTACCTCTTGTGGTCGTCGTCCCGCTGTGCCATATGGGGGACTTCGCGTTAAAGTCCTCGAACCGACAAAAACAACACTGATTACCAATTATCATAGAGCTTATATATTTTATTTTTTATTTATAAGGTCCAAGGTCTATGCTATGGAATACAATGGGGTTTATACAAGGAGTGAAGACTCCGTATTAAAGTGAGCCATTTCTTGGGTCACGAAGGCGGCGCTGATGTTATTAAGTATGAAAAAGATGCGCGAGAAATTTAAAATGGTAATGTTTACATAAATAAACGTAACATCCATTTTTTACTAATTTCTTAATAAATATTAAATAAGTCCTCAGCTTATCTACTGCGTCTGACGTTGTAAGCAATAAGTATGTAAGCGTAACTTCGTTACTAGACTCCAGTGCATCAGCGCTATAACGGCGACTGCTTAAACTTTACTTTGGGTTATAAAACGGATCCAAATTTATGTGCGCAGCCCACAAAGAGTCTTCACTCCTTGTAGAAGCTATTTATTTAATTAATTAATTACAAACGACAATATCCTCCCAAAAAAAAGCAATTTGCTGCTAACAGCTAAATCTGAGGGGCTTTCGTTTTGGCAAAAATAGTACCTATTAGCAACTAATATCAGTTCAGAGTAACTCTAAGTTGCTATCAGCTATTAATAGCTACTATTTTTGCCAAATCGAAAGACCTTCTGGATCCACATGCATGCGCGATCACGGATATCCGTATCCGTGATACGTATATGCGAAATTTGGATCATCCACAGGATAGTTTTTCCTATCTCTGTCATTCTACTACAGCGATCTCGCTGGAACGGATACGTGATACGTACAAAGTCCTTCGAGCATATACTACTAGAGGCAGCGTCCTAGTGGCCGAGGGTGTAGCGGAGGTTGTAGAAAGAGAGAGGTATAGGAGGGTATATGATATCTCTCTCTAGCAGCATGCGATTTGTTCTGCCGTGAACAGCTGCTTCTGTCGCGAGAGAGAGAGATAGCATGTTCCCTCCTGTACCTCTCTCTCTTTCTCTCTCTCTCTACAACCTTCGAGCATATACTACTGGCGGTAGCATGCCACTACGAAAAGTGTGGCTGTGTGCGAGAAAGACAGACAGTATCTCAGTACTTGCTGTCTCATTCTTCGCTTCAACGACGGGAGTCCTGCGGGAGCCAATGAGCGCGACCATTCATTTTCAACAAATCGCGTGCGTGCTAGATTGAGATAGCATGTACTGAGATACTGTCTGTCTCTCTCGTACGCTCAGCCACACTTTTCGCAATGGCATGCTACTTCCAGTAGTATATGCTCTAAGGTTACAACTGATCCGTGCCCAACGAAATTTGCCCGCCCACCATTGAGTTTATTAGCTATTATTATTACATTATAGCTGTTTTACATGGTCCATTTATTCAGGAATAAATTCACTAAATTCTTCATGAATTAATTCAAGAATTTATTTGTAAACGGTTAGGTTTTACACACAGTACACTAATCAAATTAAGCATACTGTGGTTTTACCAGGGTACAAATATCAGTACGCTAGCTGGTTTTACACTACTACAGACTTCGTGAATTTCTTGAACACATGAATCAGCTCTACCAACAAATCAAAGACACAAATAAAATTCAAAAATGTCACCTTTCCACTCATAATTGTAGTGATACAACAGCGGTACAGTTTTGGCACATATTATATAAATATTAGTTTTTGTAAGTAACAAATTAGTAAAAACAATACAAAACTAGTCACACAATTATTTACATATTTCTTAGAGCAAATACTACTGGAGGCAGCGTCTCAGTGGCCGAGAGTGTAGCGGAGGTTTAGGGAGAGAGAGGTTTGAAGGGTATTTGCTATCTCTCCCTAGCAGAACGCGATTGCATGTTGCTAGAGAGAGGTAGCATATACAACCTCTCTCTCTCTAAACCTCAGCTACACTATCGACCACTGAACGCTGCCTCCAGTAGTACATGCTCTAAGACATATTCCAATAACATAACCTTATTACTGATCTGAGGCTGGAAATTTGTTGGGTTGGTACTTCTGAACTTCACGAAGAAATTGAGGAATATAGGCATGGAGACTAGATATAGTATAGTCTCCATGAATATAGGGTCGTTTCACATATATTTTTATTTATTTATTTATTTTAATTCAGCATATTTCAAAATTAATATAGCTTTTTTAAGAAATTTGTTTTTACTAATATTACCTAATTGAAATATACAACTTTAAAATATGAACATTTTCCGTCATTTTTTATAAGACGTTGTGACGTCAACTATGTCGCATGTGTCGTTTTAAATTTAAGTTAGTATAACAAGTTAAGTTGGAACAATCACATTTTGTTATTTACTATTTACCACAAAACTGTCATGAATCATGATGTCAAATCGTTTTCTGCATAGATCTAATATATAGTATATATCCGTGTATTTTGTTTATGTCTCGATTGCGCATGTATACGAGTTGACGTCACAGCGAGAGACTAATTTTTGACAGGACAGAAAATGTTTAAATTTTATTTTGATATTTGTTCCTTTGTGATCCATTTTTTCTGAAAAGTAATTTAATGAAAGTAAATATATAAGCTCTAAGGTAACGACCCCATTATAACATGTTTCTAATTCGTCAAGAACTTGATAAATTAATTCATGAAGTTATTTGACAGCAGATTTGGTGCAATACACTTGTCCAATTTCTTGATGGAGCGACTTTATAATAATATATAAATTGTCAATAGCTTTTAGATATACAGGACAAGAAGGCCCGTCTAATTGTTGACATTGCCAGAGTATAGAAAACAGTAAATTCATTGCCTATCTAGCCTATTCGTCGTATTCCACCCTTCGAGCTAGTTTCAAGATTTCAGAACACTCAGTATATTCCTAGAAGTCGTCTTGTACCTACGGATATGTCTGAGACAGTCAAATTCGCCTACCTTTCCAATCCAAACAGAAAACCCGCCACGGTTTCAAAACTAATCGCCGTCGGCCGGGTAAATAAAAAAAGCCTCCACGGTATCAGTTCAGACATCGAACTCGATACCGTCTGAGAACGATCTCCACGACTCTGCATCCTAGTGCGGACGTCGCCCCATAACATGACAACGATCCTATCGGCGATAGCGCCTCCGAAGTCTAAGACCAATATTTCCAATGCCACCTACATCGCGGCCGATCCCGAATGGGTCTGCCATCCCGGCGCTCAGTATCCACTGCAGCGACTCTCGCAACCTGCAGACGACGCCCGGCGTGCTTCAGGGCGATATTTGGAAACAACCATCATTATTTTTACTCATCTTTCGAATTGGTCCAAGGACGCTGTCGTCAATAACTCAAAAACTTATTGAGCACTCCTCAAGTCGCTGGTATTATCTCCCTAAAATATCGTCCGAATCGGATGAACCAAAACGCTGTTATACGGGGAAACGCGGATTTTACGTTTTCCGCTGGCCGTTTTACGTGCGACTACTAACGGCCAGCTAATCCATAATAGGATTCCATGTCTTCCTAGCTGCCGCCGGAAGTGTCCGCGCGATCTCGGCCGAACCCTCCAACCACGGTACTACTTCGTTCCGTGCATCACCAGTCCACTTTTGAACCAGATCCATGCAGTATTAAGACCTCCGTAAGCCCTTTTACGAAGATGGGGAAAATTTCACCGCTGTTTTCAATTTCCCCGTCTTTGGGCCGAAAGGATCGTCTTTCGAGGGTCCCACCGCTCTGGCGATGATCGGTAGCCTAAGCCAAGACCGTGGGTAGAATTTTTTCAAAATGGGAAAAAACTCCGAAAGCTCCGATGCCGACATCAACTATCCGGAGAGGCCAGAGGGGAACGAGATCCGACGTCGACGGCGACGAAGGGTGCTTTTTGCAGAATATTTTGGCGGACAATTCACGAGCGTTCCGCTAAAAGTATGGAGATCGGAGGA